AGTTGCAAAACAATTCATTGCTAAAGTTGAAGATTGTTTTAACCTCCCTTCCTCTCTACCCCAAAACTATATCAATGTCAACTATACAAACAAACTGGACCTACTAGAGTTAATACCTCTATCCAGATTTATATATCCGGATATATTCTATGTCATGTGATATAACATGACATAAGGTTTTTAAATCTGGATATAAATAAATCTGGATTTAAATTTAAATTCGGATTTATACTATGATAAAACCGGATAAATCCAGATATAAAAAATATATCCGGATTGAGGTATTAACTCTAGAACCTACCAACAGACCATCAGGCAATCCAAGAAATGAATTTAACTATTCCTATTACATCTCCCAAACAACTGGTCAATATCACTAGAGAGTTACGAAATCATTACTTCTTCTATCACATCCCTACTTCATGGATTAATATCCTCCAAAAAAATACCCCAACCAAAAACCTACTTTACCTAATACCCTCAAAGACTTAACCACTCACCTCTCAAAACTTGACTCTGAGCTACTGACAATGATCCCAATTAAAGCACATTCCAATACCAAAAGCATAATCAACAAACCTCGAACATATTTTGCTATCAGATTTATACCTAACTATATACTGGCTTTACCTGATTTACCTCTTCCTAACTGGCAAATCTTTGACAACTACTCACCTTCCAACCCATAACCAAAATCCACAGACTCTTCCCTAAACAAAATCACACATGAGTAACACAACACTATCACCTAATAGCTCACTGCCACCACTTGGCTTAATATCAAATTTAATCTTTATTAACCATAACGTACAGGGCATCAACCAGCTACTAAAACTTCAATTATTCTTAGAAGAATGTCACAACCTTCAAGCAGACTTAATCTTTATGACTGAAACCAAATTATCTGACACTTCATCCAACTCAGCCTCTCTCTTAAACCCTCTATTTAAGATATTTACATCAAACTGCAACCCAAGTAATGCAAATATAAGAGAAACCTGTATGGGCATAGCAATAGCAATGAAATACCATTTACAAACCTATATCCATAACATCTTAACAATCTCTGGATTTGCACTTCTCATTAACCTATACTTACCCAAAAACAATCATACAAGACTAATTTTAATCTACCTTCTATCTAATATTACTAAACAAGCCAAAAAAGCCCAAGACCAAATCACTTATTGGATAAACCAAGCTTGTAGCTAACATTTTAATATCATTGTAGCAGGTGACTTCAACAACAATATTAACTGGCAAAACTTTCATCGTAACACACCTCTGCTCAAATTCCTGTCAAGTTTGGGATTCATCAGTTTGCTAGAACTACACGACATCACAAAACCTACTTGGCAAAGAAACATATACTCCAGCCAAATCAACAATTTTTGGATTAATCCAGAAATCGCACTGGCATTCTCAAGGCCTACATATATTGATTCTACCTTATCAACACAAAGTGATCATACAATACTTCAATCCACCTAGGAACTTTCTTCATTTCAAAACAACCACAAACAAAAAAACAATACTAAAAAAAATATCTATACTCTCAGACAACCAATGAACAATGGAATAACTTTGCCAACTATATTACAACTCACCTAACGGCATTCTCATGCTTCTTTTAACCTATCCTTAACACTACAATGCTTAACAAAACTTGGAATAATCTAAACAATATAATAGAACAAGCTGCAAAAACCTACTTATCTGCAACCTATACCTGCCCCAAAAAATTCTTTACTCACACCTTTAAAGCTACTACATTGCACAATGCATTAAAAAAAGCAAATTATACTATTGTTAAACTTAAGCGACCTACCTCTTTCTCGTCCAATTTTGTGGCAGACTATCTAAACAATACCCTACAACAAATCAACAAACTAACTAGTACTCCTATAATAACTCTGACTCCCCAAAGCCTAGAAACACAGCAATATAATGAAACACTACTTTAGCTAAAAAGTATTAGAAATATACTGTATCAAGCATGCAACATCAAAAATAATGCCCAGAAAAAAGCAACTATTTAATCGCACGTACTGTACCATTATGATAATTTTGCCAACAATACAACCCTGATGATAAACAGTATACTAAAACAAACACATATCCCCATTTCATATAATAATATCACTACTCCAACTGATATTGTAACTGATCCTAATAAAATCAAAGAAGCAACAAGAAAACATTTTCACAACTAGACCAAATCCAACTCACCCAACCCCTCATCCTAGACAGAATGGGAAAACTACTACTAACCACTCAGCAACATTCCATCTAATACCTTCTAGTCCTTACTAAACCCTATAACTTGTGAAGAGGTTCAAACAACAATTAATAACGCACCCCAAAAAAAAGCAACCGGCCCCTCCCTTATATCCAATGAGATGCTAAAAAAGCTCCTCCAACATGCAATTAAACAACTAACACATATCTTCAATGCCTGCCTCAACTTTCAAAACATATCACAGCTATGAAATAAAGGTCTAGTATGGCCTATCACTAAGAAAGGATACCTACCGAGTGACCTAAGCAAAACAAGGCCCATCACATTGATCGAACACTCAAGAAAAATATTTACAAAAATATTAACCAACCACCTCAATCAAATATTAATCAAACACAATATACTAGACCCAGCAAACCATGTAGCACTCCCACATATCTCTACTTTGCAACCCATCCAACAAATCACGCACATCTTGGAAGATGCCTATATACAAAACAAAGAACTCTGGGTACTCTCTCAGGACATGTCGAAAGCCTATGATACCGTATACATTCCTCTGCTCTAGAAAGCTTTTGAGCATATCCATATTCCCCAAAGATTCATCCAACTACTTACCAACATTCTTGCTTACTAACAAAACCAAGTCATTACTTCTCTTGGAAAAACATGACCCTACCCTGTGGAAGATGGACTTGACCAAGGCGAAACTATCTCACCTATCCTGTGGTGAATATTTACGACCTCCTGATCTGTCGAATAACTTTTACAGTATCTGGCTACTCAATGATAACACACCTTACTATAACACAAACAGTAAAGCAGATATCAACCACAGTTATTGCATATATAGACAACACCACCTGGATTGCCGATAGTAGAATGTCACTTGAAACCATCCTATCTATTGCTTCATCCTTCTACACCTTCGCCCAAATTACCGTCAACCCCAATAAGTCAATACTCTTACACAACAACACCTCTGACTCACTCCCAATAACCTTCCAAAACCAACCTATACACAACCTTCTTCCAAAGATATCTTCCGATTCCTTGGAACTTACATATACCACCCCCACAACAATAGACTAATTATTTGAAAACTAAAGCATGAACTAAACCAAGAATTAAACAAGCTACGCCACTCCCTCATCACTGAAAAACAAACCACCTATATCATAAATACAGTCTTACTCGCTCATCTACGTTACCGATTATCAAACACTTACTTAACCACTACCAAGGCATCCAACCTTACTAAACGCTACATTGCTATTATCAAAACAAAAGCAACTATATCCCACTCCTTACCTAATTCAACTCTTCATATACCTTATTTATATGTACTAACAGGCATCAACCAATTACAACAAGCCCACCATGCATCTATTTTTGAAAACTTATTAAACTCGACCCTCTCCTCATTAACCTTTAATATTCGTATTCAGCAACTACAAAATGACACTTTTTCTAATCAGTCAATCTTGACACACACACCTCAATTCTCTACAAAAGAATTTAAAACATTTACTGCACACTTAGTCAACAATGTCTATTCACTTAATCTACAATTTTTCCGTATAGCAAACCTCTGGCTAATACCCTTCCAATCACCAGACTACTCTATCAACACTATCTTAGCTTATATAAATAAACCTATATATATTAAAGCAAAACTCAATCGTCACAAAATAAGCAATATCGAACAATTTACAAACTACGATAATTTAGAACTACTAGATTGGACAAACTTCTACCATAATATCAGTAAAATTCTATGCAGAAGAACCCCAAAGTAGTTTATACACATTTATGAACTACTATAAGCCACAGCTACAAATATATCTGTTCTAACACAATCTAACCTATATATTTAGAAAACTCATTTTAACAAACAGCACAACAAATGTTGGATTATATTCTCACATCTCGCAATCAAAAGAACAATGTCTTATAGAGACGACTTACTTAAAATACAACATTGGAACCTTAACAATAATAATTTCCTAACTCGCTACCCAGTGTGTGCACTACATGACCCAACTACCAAGACAAAAAACTGTACCTTTTGGTTCACCAATAACAATGTTACTGAAATCCAAGTCGACTCAAAAAAGTACTAGCATAGAAACATAACAACCTTTCATAACCCATGCCCAATAAAAACACCACGCAGAACACCATACTGTTACATCCCCCACACTCACCAAATCTCTTTCGAACTAGCCCAGTCCATTACTGGTTATACTAAAACCTTTTGAAAATACTATCTCAACTTATCTACAACAAATAATATTCAAGCAGAAATAACCATTACAGCACAAAAAAACACCAACACTAGTATCCCAACTGCAATTATTCATCTCCCATCTAACAAGAACACTTACCTATCCAATTCGATCAACCTTATTATCAAAACAGAACCTGGTCCAATATTAACAAAATTGCACTCACAAGTCTCTTCTTACTTATAACTCTAGCCCCCAGTAATGCTCACATTACTCAATACAAACTCTCGACACATCATTAAATCCATTTCTCAGCTCATAAATATAACAATACCACTCATAGAAGACCTTTGAAAAATGAATAACTATGCCTACTTCCTGCTCATACAGAAAGCAATCCTTGCAAAATCAATCCAAATCAGCACCAACCATATCTGCTCTACAAGAAAAATAAATAAACAAACAGAGGCTATCCAAATTGAACTTGACCCTCTTTTCTACTCTTATAGTACATACATCCTTTCTAAAGACAACTATAAAGAAAATACATATCGCTCAAAATATAGCCAATTGGCTTCAACAAAACCGAATTCAACAGCTGCTCCAAATACACCAAAACATATTATGGAGTGCAACATTTGAATACATGCAATATAATAACAAACCTCTCCATCGATATACTAACCCTGAGATATCCAAAATAAAAAATTTCAAATGCAAACTTTTGATGAAAGAACTCCCAAACTTAGTAAACCTTCATTCAAGACACCCACATACCCACACAAACCCAACTTGTCGACGATGTTGACAACCACTGGATCACGTGCACAACCAATCCCATCAATATTATGTCAATCATCAACTCAACCATTGCAGTCAGGGATTTTACTAAATTAGGAAATCACATTCTAGAATAATCTCTGTATCATTCTGTGAATTTGATTGGCCGTGTAACATTTTTTATCAACGTGGGATCATTTGATATTTTATTTATTTATTCGATATCAAACGATATACGAATAGCTAATATAAGATATCTACTTTAATTGATCCCATTTGATCCCTCGAAATAAACAATTATAAAAAAGGTAGATGGAAACTAACTTCTTTTAATTAATAAGCAAATTTTGTTGTGGTTAAATTTGATTGGTTAATCGCACATGATTTTCGTGCAACCAAATGATCTAGAATCATGTGATCAACATTTCTATACTATACAAGATGCGATCTATACTGTCCATTTTAGGCAAAATCCCTGACTGTATTATATATGTCGATAAAGTACAAAATTTAAAAATTTATTTATTTTTAGTTCAAGATCTTCTGGTAATTTTTGTGTAACAGTATTTTAATAGCAAGTGCTTAGTTTATGATAGTGTATAAAACTATCTAGCTATTTATTACTATACTTACATTCATTAATATTTGAATAAATTAAAATAAAATACAATTGCTTGGTTAACTGTTGGGCTTTGGTTTTAACTATATAATGGGAAATTAACTTTTGTTTTGCATATTGAGATTTTATCCAAGAGATTAGATCAGTTTCTAACAATAGATATTTAGCACTTCTTCTAGTATTTAATTACTTAATATGTGATAGTAAATATATTAATTCATCTTGCTTTTTAATCCATTCACATAATTGTTTTGGTTCTATATCAAATTTTTCTGTGGTGCTTCATTTGCTAGCACTAGAGTTTTTCTCCAAATATGTAATATTTGCTAATTTTTCTTGACAATTCTAACTTTTTTTTCTTTTTTGGAATATTTGCCTGTTTTAAGTTTGCTCTATGTCATGCTATTTTTAATGTTTGTAATAAAAAAACAAGTATTACAGTATTATGTGCTTGAGTTTAAAACAGGTAAAAAAACAGGTTATTAAAAAAAAATTAGGGTTGTAAACTAGTTACTGGGTAGCGAAGCAAAAAAAAAAAAAAAAAAAGTAAACTGCTTTTAAATTTTATGAAAACCAAATTATTAATTTTGTATAGCCTAAATGCATTTATTTTATACATAATTACAGATTACATACTCATATAATAATATATTATTGCACAATACCAGTCAGTAACAATATTACTGTAAAACGCTGTATAAGGTATCTCTAGATTTGTACCCTCTTGATTTGTACTGGGTATGTTTCAAGGTCATTAGATGCAGTATTTTGTAAGATACCCAGGTACAAATTAATAAATATAATTTTTCAGATTTTCATTTAGATTGTTTTATTCATGGGTTTCAAACATTACAAAAATGCTTTTTTTTATATTGACTATACCTATGCATTCTTTATAACAGATTCTATAACTTTTGGAAAGGCAGGTTTGCATCTGTATATATTGCAAATTGAAAATACAAATCATGGGTATGCTTAAATTATTTTGTAAATTAAAAAAAACTTGTAAAAAAAAATATTTGATAAGTCAAGTTTTATAATTTAGTCATGTTACTATTCAATTATTAATACATATTTATAATTTGTTCTTCAAAACAGATGCCCTCGGGCACTTATATTTATAATTATAAAGTTAATTATATTCAAATATTAGATCTAAAAACCTTATATTGTTGCAATATAAAAGGTTGAAATGGTAAGTTTATTTAAACTTTAAATTTGTATGATTACAAATCATTAAATCCATTAATTCATGAAATTGTCCATCTCATTTTGATTATAATAATGTTCAAATTCTCTATGAGATAAGGAATTTGGTTGGTTTTGCTGATATAAAAGATCTTGGAGAAGAAGGTATTCTTGGAGCAAAAGATGTAGTTGGGATAAAAGGTTTTGAAAATCTTGTTAGAGTGGTAGATCTTGGAAGCCTTGTTGGAGTAGGTCTTGGAAGCCTTGTTGGGATAGTTCTTGGAAGCCTTCTTGGAGTAAAAAATCTTGAAAGTCTTGTTAAAGGTTTTGTTAAGATGAAAGGTCTTGTTGTAATTCAGAATTTTATTAAAATTAAATATTTTTAAAATAAGAAGTTTTGTTAAACTAAAGTCGTAAAACCAAGTTTTTACTATTAAAAATATATTCATTGACTTCATTGTTATTATTTTCAATATGATCATAATCAAAAATTAAATCATCTTCTGAACTATTATTTGCAGCTGAGATGCCACAACACTTAAAGGAATTTTTAATTAGCTGAGTATCAATATCATCCCATGCACGCTTAATTCATTTTGCAATTATATTATACGGAGGATGTTTAATTCATCCAGATTCAGTTAATTCTCTTATTTCTTGTGATATCCATTTATTATACATAGTTCTAATCTATTGATAAAAGGTGCATTAATATATATTAACTATAAAAAATATATATATATTAAAAAGAAACACCTTTGCTTTAAACAGTTTGTTAATTGATATATCAAGTAGTTGAAGTTTTGATGTTAACTCCCCAGGAATAATTGCAATATTAGTGCTTTTGTCAGCAAGCTTATTTTTAATAAAAGGAACTAAATAATACCGAAAAGAATTCAATACTAAAAGTGACCACAGATTCTCAGAATTTGGTGTATGATTTTGCCAAATCTTATCTATCCAAAAACTCATTTCTATTTCATTCATTCATCCACTTGCATTAGCTCTAATAACTACACCTGATGAAAACTCAAGCTATAGAACATTCTTTAACTTAAAAATGATTATTGGAGATAATTTCGTGCCATCTGCCAAACATGCAAGTACAACGGTAAAGCAAGATTTTTCATAACCACAAGTCCTAATACTAATAGTTTTATTTCTCTTATTATTTATAGCTACGTTACTTGGCATATCAAAAAAAAGAGGGGTCTTGTCTATATTGCCTATTAATTGTAACAGATAATCATATTGAATACAGTGATATTGAACAAAATTAAGAAATTCTTGCTGTTGTATTTCTAATTCTGCTGGTAATTTTTGCACAACAGTTGTTTTACGATAGTTACTAAAATTATTACATTATAAAAAACCATCAAGCCACTTGTTACTCCACATAAAATTATTGATATTAGAATAGTGAAGAATATATTTTGGAGATTTTGCTAATGATACAGCTTTATTTTGTACTATAATATGGCTAACTAGTTTTAATTTGTCACATAAAGCTCAAACTCATTCAGCAGGTTCCTCTTCAAGTTTAAAATAATTTGATCAAGCACCAAAATTGAGATGTTTAATATAAGGCCGAGCTGACAATAGCTCTTCTCGTTTATTTTTCTAATCCCGAATTTGCTTTGGTTAAACTTGAAATTTATCTGCTGTTTCATGTATAGTAGCTCCAGGAATCCTTTCAAGATAAGAAATTACAAAAAGTTTTTCCTAGGCTGTCCAATGTTGGTATTTTTTTTGCTGAAGTCTTGTTGTAAGAATACTTTCTAGGAGAACTATAATATTAAAAATAAGTTTTCTTAAAGTTTATACTTATGATAAGTTTTCAGTATAAAAAAAACAAAGTCTTATATCTTATATTTTATATTTACATCTTATATCTTACATTTACATCTTATAAAAAAAAAAAATATATTTGAAAAAAAAAACATTTGCAAAAAAAAAAAATTAAAAAATTTTTGTGAAAAATTTTTTTTAAAAAAAAAAAAAAAAAAAAAAAAAAGCGAATAATAAACCCCTTTATTAATAGTAATTACAGTAAATTACCATAACTTATTTAAAAAAAAAAAAATTTAATTTATTGCCATATTACCACATTAGAATATAAAATATAAAGCCATTTTTGCCAAAAAAATGAAATATTGCTTCCACTTAATATACTGATACTTAATAATATACCCCCTTACAAGGTACTCCAAATAATATACCCTCCTCCATACAAGGTACCCGGGGGGTACAAATTAAATTTTATCATGTGAATTGTAAGATACCCGGGTACCTTATACGGCATTTTACAGTAAAGAAATTTTAGATTATCACTACTAGTTTATCTATATACAAAATTTTTCTCTTTATATAATTTCCAAACTATAACTCTCCAACTATAATACCTCTCTCTAAACAATAACCTCCCAATTATCTACCCCCCTCCAAACAATATACCCTGGGTATAATTCAAGTTTTTTGATCAGTAAAATATAATATACCTGGGTTGTCTATATGGCTATTTATAGTACTTAACTATGTAGACTTTCAATCAACATATATTATTAAAGTCTTTCAACTTTTCTGATATTACACTTGGAGACTTCAATATCTCTACTAACAACATTCATTCTACCTCTATCAAATATAAACTTCTCCAATACCTCTCATATAATAATATGTACAATTTAGCCTC